ATCAGGGTATTTACAGAAGTAATCAAGTTACAGTGTAGTCATTACAGTGGGTCCTAAGCTGATTGGTGCCCTTACAGAAAGAAGGAATTTGGACAGGGAGATAGACATTGTAATGATTCAGGCATTATGCTGGCCTGCTTCTGTCACCTGGCATAATGCCATCAGTCCTTACCCTGGTCAGCCCAGTCACAAAAAGACAAACATGAGCCTTCATCCAGTGGCTGATGGAAGCAGAGGCAGACACTCATAGCTAAACACTGAACTGAACTCGTGGAAACCAGTTGCAGAGAGGGAGGAGTGATGAGCAAAGGGATTAAGGCTGGGCAGGTGAGACCCACAGAAGCAGCTGACCTGAACAAGGGGAGTACATGGACCCCAGAAGGATGGCTGAGAGGCCAGCATGGGACTGATCCAGACTCCCTGAATGTGGATGCCAGTGAGAAGACCTCGACAATCTATGGGGCTTCTGGTAGTGGGTCACTATTTATCCCTGGCGCACGAATGGACTTTGGTAGCCCATTCCAAGTGGAGGGATGTGCTCTTGGCCTGGACACATGGGGGAGGGCCTTGGCCCTTCCCGGGATCATATGACAGACTTTGGGGATCCCCCATGGAGTGCCTCACCCTCCCTGGGAAGCTGAGGGAAGATGGGATGAGGGCTGGTGGGAGACAGGGGAGGAGGAGAGCAAGAGGGAGCTGGGATTGACATATGAAGCAGGCTTGTTTCTAATTTAAATAAAAAAAGCACTGCTGTTTATAGTGCAGGAGAGATGGCTAGGCAGTTAAGAGCACTGGCTGCTTGCTCTTGGTTCAATTCCTAGTACTCATGTAACAACATTCAACTATTTGTTGTCCAATTCCAGGGAATCCAACACACAAAATAAAATAAAATAAAATGACTACGTCTCCCATAGTATGGTACTTTGCTATTGAGGCTCTAGTGAACTAAGATGCTCATCTGCTCCCCAGTATGTCAGGCTAGAGAAGAGGCTCATTCAATGGTCTTTACTTTTCTTCATCTACACCCTTACACTTTATGAATGACTCCAGCATCCTAATCTCACATTTCCATTCTTCTGTCATTTTTCTTCATCCCTGCTCCATCACTTGAGCCCAAGTCTGCATCATCTCACAACTCTGTTCATACAACAGAGTTTCTCTTTTTCTAAAATCATCTCCTAAAATGTAGATTTCATGATGTTTTTATCATAATAGTGCTACAGTCTGATGTGCTTATGGTGCCATATTGCTTTCTACGCTAAATATGAGCAGGGCATGTATTCTCCTCCAGACTTTGGACCCATTGTACCTACCTAGTCTTTTGTTCCCTAACACATACCATGCCTCTTCCCATTGCCGACTCCCTATTCCTTCTACTCTCCCATACCATCAGGATGCTCTCTTATGCTTGTTTTTTCTATCTAAACCAATTTCCTTTTCAAGGTCTAGCAATTATTACTGGCTGTGGCAACTCAGGATCACACCAGTATCTTTTACCCTGGCTGGATTCTAACCAGTCCTTTTAAGGTTAGCAGCAAGTGTTTTTAAAAATTTATGCAGATTTATTTATATTTATATTCATATTTCTCTCAGCTTGCAGGATACTGTAATAACTAATTGGTCAGATTCTTAAGTGAGAATAATGGAAGCTAGATGATAGGGAGGAGGAAACAGGGAAGAGTGTATTTTGGCTAGAATAATGAAGAGGAATTTGTCTATTTCACTGTTTTTCAAATGGTCCCTGAACCACCAGAATATAAATAACTGAAGTGTCTGAAAGACCATTAAAGACTTACTGGATCAGACTCACTGCATCTCATAATTGTTTTTAATTTTAATTTTCTTCAGCTTTATTGAGGTATGGCTGATAAAGAATTATATATGCTCAAGGTTTACAATGGATTTTCTCCAGAGAAGTATGCTTTGTACAATGATTTGTCTAATCTGATTAATATATCCACCAGTGAATAAAGTTTCATGGGGTTGCTAACATTTCATGTCTTCTCTCACAGCTAATTTCACATACAAAATACATTATTTATTGTAGTAACAGTAGTACACACTGGATCTCTAGAATATATATCTCATGACTGACAGCTTGTACCCTTTGGGACACCTAGATGATTTTTAGGTGGTCCATTCTTGGTAACCATTAATCTAACTAAAGAAGGCAAAAGGGATATGTAGAGAAGAACAGATTCTCTTGCTGTTCTGTTTACTGGGTACACAATTAACAATAGAATGGAAGTATTACACAATATCCAGTTTGCTCTGTTGTGATTTCTCCATGTTTAATAGATTGCTTTATTCAATTGCAAGAAATGTAGCACAAATATGGGCTAGTACAGTCTCAGGAAGAACAGAAATTTTGTGGCACTCCAAGGTAATGTAGCTAGTTTTACTTTTCTTGAGAAGGAAAAGATAATCAGGGATGCACTATAGGCCACTGGAATTCAAGTTTGGGAAGCACAGTGAGCAAAAACAACTTGGAGATCTCCTTACTTAAGCTTTTAATTGGAAACAAGTGATAGCTAAAATATGTAGCTGATTTAGATAAAAACCAAGGAGACTCTTGTTGGCTCACGTCGAGCAGGATTTCTGCAGTTGAGTACTACAGAAGCGAGATAACAGAATTAGATACGATCGAGGGGAAGAAAAATGCACAAAAGTCCTTGAATTAAAATGAATTGAAACCTTCTGGGAGAAAAGCTATTTGGTAAGCTCCATTAAGTCTATTGTAGATAGCTTTATTTGACAAAGCAGCATCTTGGCATGTGGAACAGGAAAGAAAATAGCTATAAGATGATCTGTCAGGGAGTTTCCAGTCTCTGAACGAATAAGATTCTGTGCAGTAGCCAATACAGCTTTTAACTCAGAAGAGATACAGAAGCAAAATGCAATTATATATCCCTAGTAAGTGCACTCAGTATGAATTTCCCACATACCCCTCACGTTCCCTAGTAACTCTTCAGACTCTACAATCCATCAAGTGGATGCTCAAAATTAGGTTGCATTTAGTTCACATAACAATGCACAAGCAGTGCATATGATGCTGGAGATACTGAGGTAGAGACAATACTATTAAGTCATAATTAATCTGCTATAGTATATCTCAGTGAACCACCGTTACTATTACAGACTTCTCTTTAGTTTGGCTATAGGTTTATAGTATTTATTTGCATCAATTCACTATTCTGAAAATGCTTATAGAGTATCTAGCAAGACAATAGTTTTTATATTTATGGATCAAATATATAACAAAAATAGAGAAAATTCCATTGAAATAGCTAATGAATACCTTTAAAAAGTCTGACTTGATGGTTTTTTTCTGGAAGAATTTCTGCTTATTGAGTGAAGATTCTGATACCACTTACATGAGACCAGAGCCTTTGACTTTGATGTGGGAACTGGGAAATGCAGGTTTGAGTTTTGGTCAATCAGTATGTCCCCCCACCACATGACAAAGCCATTAAATTACTTACTAGATTTCCAATGTTTACAACTTGCTTGGCATGTAACAGCTATGAAATGACTGGATGAGCTAATCTGGCCACCATAAAATGCAGGTTGAGTTCCTATTGCATGGGAGATGATTGCCAGTGAGGGAAAGTCTCTCTTAGTTCTGAGATTAGTATTCAGATATTTGAAATTTAGGCCTAGTGGTATATGACATGTGTGTGCAGGTGTGCACAACCACATGTGTACATACACACCAGAGAAGGATGTTGGGTGTTTTGCTCTATCATTTTTAAGGGATCTTGTTTGCCGCCAACCCCCCACAGTGCTGGGGTTACGGGCATCCATGGTCATGCTTGGCTTTGTACGTAGTTGTTGGGGATTTGAACTCAGGTCCTCATGTTTGCCAAAGCAAATGGCTTTACATACTGAGCCATCCCCCCAGTATAATGCTTTTTTATATTGCACTTTCATATAATTAAAGTCCTAAGATTGTTTGCAATGGTTTACATGAAACACTGGCCTAGTGGCAGGTACTTAGTCTTGTGGTGATCTTCCATCCATTGTATTTTATGATGAAACTAATGGGTAAGGTGTTGTCTTATTGTTCATGAGGCTTACCCTATAGGCCTACTGGGTATCAGCATCATTGCTTCTATCTTACTGTGAGTTTTTCATTATACTAGATTAGAATAAATGCCTTCACTCAGACACCTATTTGCTGACTCCTATTGGGTAGTCAATATATTTGCTAAGTAAGTGTGATAGTTATTTATTTCAGATATTTATTACTTTGTAGACTTTCATTTTGTTACTTTATGGAGATACTTAATTTTTATGCATTCATCCACAATATTACTTAGAATTGTATATGTGTTACCATGTTTGCAAGTGTATGTAATGTACATGGACATGTGGAAGTAGACATTAATGCTAGGTTTCTTCATCACACCCTGCAGTTTGAAACAGGGTTTCTTGCTAAATGTGGAGCTTACTGATTGGCTGCTCAGCAGGTTCCAGGGATCTTCCAGTCTCTACCTCTTCAGCACTGGGATTATAGCTTTAAATTTTTAAGACAGATGCTAGAGATCTGAACTCAGGTTTCTCCTAAATTATATAATCAACTTTGTATTTTCTTTATGTCCTTTGCTATATATATTTTGTTAACATTTAAATAGTATATCTATCTGTAACATATTTGAGCAGAATGTATAAGTAATCTAGCATTCATGCACTTGCTCTCTCACAGTTGAAGTGGAACAATGATGCCTAAATGTCCATTGGGGCATTATTTTTTTAAAAAGCACACATTTTAAAGTAGGTACTTCAATTGAAAAATGGATATATGAAGAACACAGAAAACCCTATAGACACAGGTCTGACATTTAGCAAGTGTTTACTCATACAGCCCCATCAATTTTCTCTATCTGGTGTCCACTCTGATGGGCTGATGTATACATCATCTTACCTTGTTTTAAAGGTTTGAAAATATTGCCACTGCAAGTAAATGTTTATTACATAAAACAAACCAGAATTATCATTACCTGACTCCTCCGTTTCTTTTGTTTCTGTTGTTTCTTCTATTTCATCATCAGACATTTCCATTTCTTCTTCTCTCCTGATGCCCATTAATTCATCATTATGAATGTTGCGAATTTCCTAAGGTTAAAAGGTATGCTTTTTATGGGGGAAACTTGGAAAATGTTCAGGAAGTGGACAGATGTATAGGGACATATTAAAAACTTTCACGGTGTTCTTAAACAAACAGGCAATGGCACATTGAGACTAAATAGTGTCACTAAAAGGCACACTTGGCTCTTACTTGTTTGGAGTTCTGGAATTATACCTTCCCATGATGGTTCCTTTACCTTTGCTATTTCCTCTCCCCCAACAGCTTTCCTGAACAGAACTCTAAACCAAGATTTTGTAGTTTTAGAAGATACAGCAAAAATGAGATTAACTCTCATGGGCAATAACTATAATGTCTGGACAAAAAATACATAACAACTTGATGTCATTGGACAGTGAACAAATGCAGGCATAATATGAAGAAGAATTGGCATTTGGAAGAAGCAAAAAACGTGTGGACAAGTTTCTTGGATTTTAAAAAGCTTCTTAGTTTAAGAGCAGATCAGAGTTAGTGAGTTAGTCACAGGGTAGCTAGATGTCTAGTAGAAAACCCAGCCTCTGTGGCCTAAACAACGACAAGATAGTGGTTAGTGGAAAAACAGCCACTGGAGAGTAAGGGAAGAGAGAGAGAGAGAGAGAGAGAGAGAGAGAGAGAGAGAGAGAGAGAGAGAGAGAGAGAGAGAGAGAGAGAGAGAGAGAGAGATTCTTTACAGTCTGTATATAAACTCCTTTCAAACTTCTGCATGATCTCTCAACCAAGGAAGAGTGAGGCTAAAGGAGTTAAATTGTCATTGAAACTGCTGTTCAACACATAGAAACCTCTAGCTTTAATACAAGCAATTAAATTGATGATTTAAGGAAAAGAATACAAAGTGAACATTTTGGAAGAACGTATCAGGGTCCGTAATTATTACACTATAATATTCATATCTAGGATAATCACCAAAACCACTGGACATCTCAGCAACTAGGTTTAGATTACATTTTCCAGAAAAAGAACAACAAATGGAGACCAACCCTAAAATGATATAGATGGGGTACTCATTAAATAAATAAAACAGCTATTTAACTATGCTTCTGGTATAAAGGAGTTGTGCTCATATAGAAAAAAAGTTAGGCAATCTTATCAGAAGGTCAGATACTTTAAAATAACCCACAGATTCATTTAGCTTAAAACAAAAGAAGACAAGAGTTCTTTTGTCTGGAAATAATGAACTAAGAAATGAAAAGTTCTTTTATTTTCAACATTAAATAAAAGTTCTTATTGTAGACCTTTATGATGTTATTGCCATTTTCTTCCACATATCTTTGTACAGTAAAAATTTTAATGAAATGATTTTTTTTAACATTTGATGACAGAATTCAATCAGCATAACAAAAATTTAATCAAGAAATACTCAATGTGAGGAATTTTTTTTACCATAGAAAGTATAATAAAGAGGGATTGATTAGAAGGTGATAAAAATCACTCCGAAACATACAAGAGCAGCTAGTATGTGATATGAACAAGAAACCTTCACACACACACACACACACACACACACGCACACACACACACACACACACACACGCATACTAACCCAAGGCTAAGTAGCTCTTGTTGAACACTACTACACTTTTATGACTCACAAAGTTGATTCATCAGAAATGGATTGAAATCTACTGTGTAGATGTTTCCAGAAATACAACATCGGGGTGTGAGGAAAGCTTTTCAGAGAAAGATATCTTATAAGAGGTGCTGTGTTTAAGGCTGCTTAAAGGCTACTGACAGAACAGTATATCCACACACCATCCAATTTAAAGAGTGGGATGGATATTAATAGAATCTTAGTTAATTGTGGGATTGGATATCAAAGTTTAAAACTACATGCAACTGAATTCCAGAAATAGAGTATGGGAAGAAAAATATTTGAAGAAATAATGCCCAATAATTTCTTAAATTCGACTAAGGGCATTAATCCACTTATACAAAGAGTTTAGTAAAGCCAAGGCAGGGGCTTATTGTGAAAAAAGTATATCTAGGAACATCATATTCTGACTACAGGAAATTAAAGAAAGTGAAAAACTCATACAAAGTAGATAGAGAACAATGATACATGATATAGAGAGGGAAATCTACAGTGAAACAATCTCATTAATGTTTGTGGAAAAACTAAAATGTCTACCTATTCAGAATTTTACATTTGGAGAATGAAGATAAAGTATTTTCACATAAAAATAAATGCAATAAGTCATCATCATGCTGAAAAGAAGCTAAGAAACTCATGATGATCACTGGAAATGATCAAGTTCACACTGGAAAAGTCTCTTTAAATTTAGGAAAGAGAGGCTAAGGTAATGGCTCAACTGGTAAAGTTATTGCCATGCAAATATGAGGAATTGGTGCCATGGGCAATCCCAGTGCTGGGGAGGTAGAGACAGTAGGATCCTGTGGCTTGCTAGCCAGCCATTGTAGCTAAATAACCAAGGTCCAGGTTCAGTGAGACACTATCTCAAAAAATGGCAGGAGTAATAATTTAGGAAGACATTCATTGTGGTTCTCTGGTCTTCAAACATATGCTTGTGACTGCACACACCCTCACCTACACATGCACATGCATATGAACACATACACATTATACCAAATCAAGTAAGAATGAGAACTACACATTTTAGAGCAACTTGAAATCACTTAGACATAACTTGATTGTTATTGATTTCCTAGGTTTTAAGCTGAGAACTCCTACTGGGTTGCAACTTTGGAAACACCTAAAGCCTTCTGGTTCAAATTACCCAATTTATAAGCATTATGTATATTTCAAATAGATTTCTTCTTATCTTTTCTTTTCTTTTTGAGTCAAGGTCTCACTAAGTAGTCGTGGCTGTCCTGGAACTCTCACTGTAGACCAGGCTGCCTCGAACTCACTGAGATCCATCTGCCTCTGTGTCCTGAGTGCTGAGATTAAAGGCGTACATCACCATGTCTGGCCTTCAAATGGATTTATTAATAATGCTATAGTTAGTCGCTATCCTAATGTCTTCTTTTTATTCCTTTATCAGAAAAAATGATTTCTAGTTCCAGGTAAGTTTTCATTAACACTAAATGAAGGACTCTTTAAAAAGTGAGTTAGTTAGTATCATCACTAATTGGTAAGAAGGAGCAGAAAAATCAGACACTAATATAGTACTTCCTCTGTACTGCAGGGACTTTACTTAAAATAGAAGGAAATTATGACCGATAAATGAACTTTACAGGGCTGTGTCATGAAAAGATGTGCTATGTCTTATTCAGACTCATTGCATGAAGAACAATAAGGGAATTTCTCATTCCTCTGAATGCACTCTACCTCATAAGATTTAGTTTCAGTTATCATCAGAGCTGTTGCTGGAAGGTGATTATAACAAAGTTTGACACTGGCAAATTCAAATATTGCACAGTTTACTGCATCAGAAAAAGCTGTGGCTTTCTAGATTTCTAATAAAAACATAGGCTGTCACAGAGGATAATCAGAGACCAACTCTCAACTCACACACATGTCACTAACACTGATAAAGTTATTATGATTCTCGGGAAAGTAAATTGTGTTCATTCTAGGGAAATATCCCAGGGCAGCAAGATCTTAAAACTAAGACAGATTCTAGAGCTTCCCAGCATCCTTTTGCTTCCAGTTCGGCAAGACAGCTTAAGATCTTAGAAATACAAAGGCCTCAGTAACTACATGGTATGTCTTAACCTAGAGATCTTTCACAGTTTTAAATGCCCCTAGAAATATACTTAGGGGCAATGTTTTTTACCTAAATGCTTAAAAATACCTCAGGGACAAGAACCACCAGTTATTTCAGCTAAATATAAAATGAGAATAAGACAAACTCAGGGAAAGTTTTTTTTCTAAGTTACTCACTGCTGTGTACATTTATACAATCCTTAGCTACAAAAACCTTAAGGCTCATCTCATTATTTTTCTACAAATACCCAATACTAAGTCACACAGTTGGAATAGAATCAAAGAGAACAGCAGAAGGCTATGGGGTACCATATTAAAGAAAATTGAGGGGGGCCAATTGGTAAATGACAGAGTACTTCTAAGAAAAGCGAGACTGTTAATTCTTGGAAATCCTTATTGTTAAAGTACTCTGTATCTACTTTCTGTATTCTCTGGTAGACCAGAAAAGCTTTGAGAAAGAAATCCTTACAAACACTTTTAGAGCAATGGCCTACAAGGTGGCATGCACCCTAAATGGCATTCTAATAGCTTAGCCATAGGATTTGGTAGGGTGCTGATTCCTAGCTACTGAAGTACAGACATCAAAAGTAATAGCTGTATCCATTTCTGCAAAATGTGGGGACGGCATACAACAACACTGTCAGGAATTTTCATAGTAATCACTACATGAAATCTTCTGAGACTTGTCCCTGACAGAATACTTTTTAAAAATAAGTGGCCTTAAAGTTCCCATGTCATCCTTTTACCCACTGTAAATATGTGGTACATCTGATTTCAACAATGAATGGGTAGTGACTTCTGGAACAGCACTGTGATGACTTTGAGTCTCCTCTAACAGTAGCAACCATTTCTGAAACTTAGAAATTTATACTGCTCCACAATGGAGAACAAAATGCACTTTCATATAGACACAAACAAACCAGAGAAATACATGCAAATAATCACTTTGTACCAGTTGACATATTTGATTTACTACAAAGTATGCAAATCATAAATCTTTACACATTAATTATCTAACCATATTTCACAAAATTATATGGACTTTAATTAATCTTACTCATGTTTTACAATAGGAACATTATTACCAGAATATCAACACCCCTTATTAAATGTGTAACAAGCTTCTACTAACCTGTATTTTTTCCAGTATTAACAAGAACTATGGTAGGAAAGGATTCAGAAGGGAATGGAAAAGAACAGTGGCGAGGGAAATAAGTAGCTTGTACACTCAATGTAACAATTTGATTCTGAGATATCATTTAATAAAATGAAGCAACTCACAAACACAGGCTTGTCTCTTGTATGGTAAATAATGGAAACACAAACTAGGTGGATGTAAAATCGGGTTAGTATGTTTTTTGGATGGCTGAAGGCCAACAGCCAGTCTTAATGCAAGTGAGTCCTAAAACAAGAGTGCAAAGATGACTTCATTATTCAATCCCAAACATTCTGGAGTATGAAATGGAAGTAAAGGGAAAAGGTTTATTTTGTCAATTACAATCATCAAAGCCCTTTTCTTTCAGCTCAGTGATATAAAATCTTCTATGAGGAAGGCTGCAAGATCTATCTTCTTAATGTTTACGGCTATGATTTTAGTTTTTACGTATTATCCAAGGTGTAGCACTTGCTATAGTTCAGTTTAGGCGAAACACAGATTTTCAAGGATTCTGTAGAAAAGAGTCTCCATAGTAAATACAACTGTGACTGTAGGCATCAACTTGCAGTAAGAGGAGGGGCTTCAGTCCTCTCTTAGCATCTTTTTCTGTTTCATTTCCAGGAGCCAAACCAGGATAGTAAAAGCAATTAAAAAGACTTATTACCAAACTAGTCAGCCTGGCATGTATTTTCATAGCATTTAATTTCCTCAAAGACGGGGATTTTTTCTAAGTTCATGATCTCTCTATTCCTAACTGAGTAGAATGAGAATACTGGTAGATGCTTGACAGTGAGATAAGGAACAGGTACCATCTGACATGAGGTTTCTACCAGCTGATTTGTTCCCTGAGGCAACTGGGAAGAAGTTGTCAAAACTTCTAACTTGAGGAAACACCTGACTTTTGAGTTGTTATGATTTTCAATGGGGTGCTAAAAGGTAGCCACATCTCAAGAGGGTAGCTTTTTTCATCTCCCATAGGATATATCCTTTAAGTTTTCTGAGTAGCCTTCTAACAGTGGAGACTTTACAGCAATATGAAATGGAAGTACTCTATGGGGCTTAGGGAAGGTAAATTAAAAGGAAGGCCACGAGATATGTCTCAATGTTGAATAGTGATATCTCACTATCATCAGTAGTAGTTTTAGTTACCAAGACTTAGGAAGGTGGGCCTTGATTTAACCCGGTTAAATTCACAGGAAGCATGCTTGGTCAATAACTCACAGATGGAACATGTAGTTCTTGTCAAATCATGATGCCCATGTATCTTATCATCATCCCCCTGCCAAGGAGGCTTTAAAACAATACTGTATAGCAGGGTCTAGGATTTGTAGTTTTCTAGAGCTCTAGAGAAATGTCCAGTTCACAACAGCCATATTTATTATGGTCCTAGTTTAACTTAAGTATAAAGTATATACTCCCTCGGTTGTCAGGCTTGGCATATGCAGACTCTTGATGGGGAATTTTTTGAGATAAAGGTTCACTATATAGTTTAGGATGGCACCAAATGCATGATCACCTGCCTCAAGTATGCTGGGATTAGTGTGTACTACCACATATACTTTGGGGAATATTTCATTGCCTGATGGTTGTTACCTCAGGAAGTCAGTCCCTTCCTTCTCTGCACTGGCAGGGCTTTCCTTAAAAATTCTGGGTAGCTTAGATCTTAGAACATCATGCAGGCTTATGTATATTAAAGAGAAGGGAACATTTAATGCAGGTTAAGAATTACGAATCTAACAAATCCAGAATCTAAAATTGAAAATATTTGAGTGCTAACATGATACTAGTGATCAAAAGTTAATGAAGATGCTATTAGTTTTTTATGATTCTATACACTCACTGGACAGATGTCTTCAAGAGATTTCTCAGTGATTCCCAGTTGTCTCTGTTGAGCTAGAACTGATGCCTTATGGACTACAAGTTTAGGACCAGGGTTTCGCTTATTTTTCCTTAAATGTTTGTTGAGGTTTTAAGCCGTTCCCATACAAATTGTTTACCTATTCACAGAAGGGCAGTGTGGAGAGAATATTGCCTTCATTTGAAAGGTTAGGAAACTAAGCTACACAGAGATTAGATGACCTGTTAAAAATTACATTGAAGTCTGTAGCAGAGCTCAGAAGAGAATAATTTCTACTCTACTTCCTACTTGTATAATTTCGTGAAATCATTTAAAACATCTCTGCATTTCAGTTTTATTACATGCAAAACATAGATTCTACACCTACTCATTATCCTGTATTGAGTTGTTTAATAATAAATTGAAATAACACCATTTATATTTTCAAACTGCTTATATATTTCTTAAACATTTAATCTTATAAAATTGCTTTCATTATTATCAACACCAATTAACAGGTACAGAAACAGGGATCAAGAGATGCTGAATAACTTGCTGTATCCACTAAGCTACGAACATAACAGAAACTTACACTTTGGATTCCTGTTAGACTCTCAGTCCACAAATAGCTTGTACTATACTACATCGACTGGAAGGCTGATACTTAGGTGAGATAACCAGTGCAAAGCAATTTATGAATATAAGTGTTGGGTACTGAGGCTGTAGCTCTGTGTAACATTGCCTGTCTAGAATGTACAATGCCCTGAGTTCAATTACCAGCATGGAAAAAAAGAAATAGGAACATGAGGACTTGAACTATGGATACACTGAATTTGTTACCAGAATGGCCAAATAAACCGTAGATGAAGCAAAAAAAATTTGCTTTACTTATAGACAAAAAAAAATCAGGCCCAGGGAAGGAGAACCTACAGGCACAGAAGAAACTGAGATACCTATAAAACCATTTCCACAGGTAGCACTGGAAATAAACCTCCTATCTGCTTTAACTTCAGATTCAGGCTACTAACCTAATCATCTTACACATATTGTAGTGCTATGCTAAAGATTTACTTGAGCCCAAGCAGAAGGGTGTGTATTGACCTTGATCTGAAATCACAGTCCTTTCTTCTGGGCAGCTCTGATAAAGGAAGCTCAGAAATTTCTTTGCTTCAAGTACCAGCAGACAGCTTCTAGCCTAGACTGTCAAAGCACTCTAATAAACGGAAGATAGCCCTAATATTCCTAATGCTAGAAGCAGAGGTCAGTAATTATTATTGTACTCAAGACAAGCTAGTGAGGAGAAGTAAACTTACAATTATCTCAGCTGCATTTTCACTACTAAGATTTCTATCCAGCAGGATGCATTTAAGACAACATGTGCACATTTATTACCCTTTTGACAGCAGGTGGTCTGGATGTTGACAGGGTATAGAACACATTTCAGTGTTTCATTAGGGACTTGTTGTGACCGTGGGAGCTTGGCACTGTTTAATTCTGGTTAAACTCCAAATCAATAACTTGTTAAGGAAGGAAACGGTCCCCATGAGGAGCTACCAGAGTAGAAAGTTACCAACCTCAGCTTGTTTGCACCAAACACTGATGTTTTTACGCTGGGCTTTAGTGAAGTGGTCCCATGCCTTCTGTTTGGAAGCAGAATGGTACACAGCTACTATCTGCTCAACTGCAGTATCAAATCAGCAGTCAGAAAAGGCCAAATCGTCATCCAGGGATGGAAAGAGAGAGAAAAAATAAAGAGAAAAATGAGGCTTGTTTCATCAAGTTGTTATGACACAAACCAGACTGTGACTCTACTTGGATAAGATTACATGGGCCAAGGTACGTTACTAGTTCTTTTCTCATGGCTGTGATAAATTCTGACAAGAAGTAACTTAAGGAAGGAAGAAAGGGTCTAGTTTGGTTCACAGTTTAAGAAGGGATACATTTAATTACGGAAGGGAAGGCATGGCAGAAGGAATGTGAGGTGGTCAGCGTGTGTCAGTCAGGAAGTGGAACAGGACTATCAAAGCTCACAGATGCTCTCAGAGATCTTCTGCCTCCAGCGAGCCTGAATCTCCTACAATTTCCACAAGTTTCAAAATAGCATCACCAACTGGGAACCAAAAGTTCAAACACATGAATCTATGGGGGCAGTTCACATTCAAATCAGAACAGGAACTACGATTTTAAAAGAGACTCAACGAAAGAGACAGCAATTTACAGGAAGAGACACCCAGTTCAGGTGAGATAATGAGCAAAGCTTTTAATACAAAATTTGTGTATTCATTTAGGCAAAAAAGAGCAAGAGTCAAAATAAATGTGTTTTAGGTTCAAATTTTGTATTTAGTTGGGTGCTATGAACTATACTACTGGGTTCTTTTATTTAATATTATTGTGAATTAATTTGTATGTAACATAAAACAATGGGTTTCATGATAACATTTTCATACATCTATATGATTGTGTTACTCATATTCACTGTGTCTTTTAAGTAGTCCTCTGAAATAGTGTGTGTGTGTGTGTGTGTGTGTGTAGGTCAGAGGGCAATCTGTGAGCACCAGTTTTCTCATTCTACCATGTTGGTTCTGTGGATCAGACTTAAGTTGTTAACCTGCTGGGCCATCTCTCTGGCTCAAGTGAAGAGAAGATTGGACATGAGTATTTTGGGAGAAACAAAAGCTAAAGAACCCCTGATTCTTACAGCAAGAAAATTCAGAGATAGGATTATTTCTTTCTTTACAGTCATGTTTTCACTGTGTTCTAATGACATAGAGATTCTCACAATCCTTGCTGCTTTCTTTTTCTACTTATTAGGAAGTCCTGAAGATATGTGCTTTCCCCTCTTGGATTTTATGTCTATCCATACTTCCAAAATACGAGTAAAAGTGGAGAAAGTCCTTAATCCCAATTATATATGAGTCAGGTTTGGAGAGAAAAATATAGGAAGAGTGGACCATAATTGCTTAAAAGCAAAATCATAAAACTGCCCCGGTTCTTAAGGTGAATTTAGCTCCTTATCGAAAAGATTTGGCCATATAATTTTGTTACGTGGTGAACAAAAAAAAATCACTGGAGTGTTTATCTGATCTATCTCATTGCAGAGAACCTGGATAGATCTGAAGTGGTATACCTTTTAAAAATGGCTTCTGGCCTGTATGGTGTCTATCATATCTAGTGAAGATAATGGGAGAAAACTAAATTGAAAATGTAGAAGGAGCAAATTTATTTTTATGCAATCATCTTGGAAAATGTAATATTATTTCTTACTACAAATTCCTAAACAACATATTACATGATGATAATAATGTAAATTTGAAGACATACTGCCATAAAATCCTAACATCATATTCTAACTTCCACAATAAAATATCTAATCCTCTACTGAGGACCAGGGCTGTAAAAGGATGGGCTGTTGCTTACCTACATCCCAGTGCTTTTGCAGAGCTGAAGAAGCTAAAGCAGAGAAAATGTAAACAGGGGGTGCTCTCATGTACTCTGTGAAATCAGAGCCTTAGTATTTGACAATGCAAGGTAATGGTTCTCAACATGTGTGCTGTGACCCCTTTGGGAGATCGAGTGACCCTTTCACAGGGGTCACATGTCAGTTATTACATTACAATTCATAACTAGCAAAATTACAGTGATGAGGTAGCCTGAAAATAATTTTATGGTTGGGGGTCAGTACAACATGAGGAACTATATTAAGGGGTTGTAGCATTAGGAAGGCTGAGAATCACTGATATAAGAAGAGCTAGGAAGGTTACCTAGCCATCTGAAGTACATAGCTTTGCAGGCCTTGTATCCTGTGTAGGGCACGTGGCGAGTAAGCAAAGGACTCTTCCAGCAGAACTGTAACTCCCACTTACATTGAATAAGAATTCCAGAAAGGGCCTGCTTGAACTTCTCTTTTGCTTCTTCCATCTCTTTCTCATGGGCTGCTTTCTCATTCACCAGGCGGCGGACATGGCTGTTGGCTGACTGGATCATGGAATAGAAGTGGTTGGCACTGCGGCGGTTCACTTCTCCTCTCTCTATCCAGGTGAGCAAGGTCTGCACAGCTTCTGAGAATTTGGAATCATCTGAAACAAAAGAGTTTATTTTGAAAACTACTAACAGTGGCCAAATCTCAATCTATTTCCACAATACCCTGGCAAAAAGTTATCAGGGATTTTGGCAGATACAGGTATATGAATTAATGAAGGCAAGGAACCTCACATGTACACACATGCACAGAACGAAAGGCGAGGAAAACAGGTAACAGCTTATGAATAGCTTCAGAAATAGGGTGGCTTCTTTCCTTCCTAAAATTTCTGGGGCTGTAACTCAGTGTGAGCTCCTAGTTTACACACACACACACACACACACACACCTGCACGCACACACGCACACACACACACATGCAATCTCTCAAAGAAACATATTTATACTATGATAGTTTTCATGTATTGAGAATTCCTTAACTTATCTTATTATTTGAGAGAGGGAGGTAGGGAGGGAGATGGGGAGAGAGGGAGAGAGGGAGAGAGGGAGACAGACAGACAGACAGACACACACACACACACACACACACACACACGGTGGGGAATTAACAATGAGGGAATTTCACAATTCTACAATCTTGCATTTTTTCTTTTTCCCTTTTTTTAAATTTAATGTGTGTGTGCATGTGTGTGTGTGTGAGAGAGAGAGTGTGTGCGCGCATGTGCGCATTGTAATAAGGAAAAGTCAGTGAGAATGTTGCATCTAAGTTGATATGTCAGTACTTTTGTCCTGGACACATGGAATTACAATTACAGAAAGGCCTAAGAAAAGGGTTCAGTGTGTAGTTCTTTATGCACAAGCGTTTCTATCTTCAACCTTTTATAATAGCACTCTGGAATCCAGAGATCCTCATTCTTCCACTCAGTCCCAGCCAGGATCTATTTATGTCCATGTGTCCTCATGTCCTTTGCTCTTGCCTTCAAGAGAATCTCTGCAGTTCATGGAACCACCCTGTAATGTTAACAGTGCAGCAGCACAGCTCTTCCATACCGTCCAGGCCTCCTTCCCCAGCTAGCTACTTACATATTCTGTTCTGGCAGACCTGTGAGACAGACTCTCATAGCATTCAATTGAAGCCACATTGTGGAGCTTCACACCCCTCTCTGGCTAGAAGCTCTTAGTCAAGTAGAAATGTATTTGCTTGGCCCCTGCCCTTCAGCTTTTCATTGCAGACACAATGGTAGAGGAGTCTTCCCCATGTAGCAGCATTTCATTTCATTACTTGGATACAATCTTTTATGTCGATGCTGCTTGTGCTTCTCTTGAGGGCCGTGCAACCAGCAAATTCTTTTTTTTAGTGTACAGTGTCTTGTTTGGTGTCATGTGACTAGACAAATCTTGGAACTGGCATCTCACCAACGCAAAAGCTTCTCTAGTGTTTCAAAATATACCATTATTTCTGTTCAGTTAGGGATGCTATACTTTCTGTTTTTCCCTTGCAGAAAGTCAAAATCAATCCAAAGAGATTTCTTAAATGTGATGTAAACAAATTTGGCAAGTGCGACCTATTTATTTAGAAAGTAGAATTAGCAAGATCTTGCTGAAATGAAAGCACAGAAGCAGGGCAAATTCATAGCATTAGAGCTGGGTCAATGTCATCAGTAAGATCAATGGGGCAGCAACATTCATTCAATAAAATCAACTGTACTTGGGAAATGAGAGACTGGCTCTGAGTTACTATGACAAGAGAACAGGCAAGGTGATTAATGCCAAATTAGCAAAGTGGCTCTAAGTCTCAAGCAAGAACAGGAATCAAAACTATAGAAAAAGGAGTTTGGCTTACCGATATCTAGAAATTTCCATAGTTCCTTTGTGGAATAACTTGACCTTTAACAACGATAAAGACTTCTTTCTCAGGTAGTAGCTAAGTCTTCAAGGTAATCAATGCATACACATGGTGACTAATTTCTGGGCCTCCATTTTGCCATCTTGGTTTTGTTTGTCTATTTATTTTGAGACAAGAGTTCATTCTATAACCCAGGTAGGCCTGCAGTTCTTGGTGATCATCCTGCCTCAGCCTCCAGAGTGTTGGGATTACAAGCATGCCCTACTATATTTTGACATCTTTTAAAATGAGGACTTTACTGGAATTTTACAGGGCCATGTCCAGTTCTACAATGCTGATGTACTCAATGATGAAAAATTCAAATCTCACTAGTACCCAATATAAAAGGTGGACATGTAGGTCCTAAGCCATGAATCATACCTCAAATTTTCTTGTGTAGTAAGTAGAAAAATATCTCTTCTTACTTATCTGATGTCTGGATAGAAAAGTACCAACTGTTGAGACAATGAAGGAACTGAGACACAGGTGGGATGGACAAATTTCCTGGTTCTGGAGTTACTTGGTATTATCAGCAAGCTTCCAACACATGAAATGCTAGGATCTATTAGCTAGAAACTGAAAGGGTAACTCTAAACAGCACAGTGATGTTTATTACAATCCCCCAAGAAAAACAGTCCATTCAATCATGGAGCTTGAATGCCTTCTATACCTTTCAGTTTTTCAGCGACAATGCTGCATTCATGATCTGAATAGTGGACCACTGGGGGTGGGGATGGTGGACGCAGTCTTTCTTCTTCCATCCTTCTACGGTGCCGCTCCTCTCTTGCCAGCATACGCTGTTTACACTCCCACTCATACAAGTCATCCCGAGCCTGGGCAAAGTCAACATGAAGCCGGCCTGTGTCCTTCTTGTCAGTGCTAGAGCCCAGGCGTATTCGGTAACCTAAAATAAAAGGGAGTGAGGGAAGGGAGAAGAGACTAGTAAGCCACCAACTTACTAGTTCAGTGTCTTAGAGATGGTTTGAGTAGTTCTAAGTGATCACATAATACCAAATTCTCTCTCACTGGTATCAAGGTGAATCATCAAAAGACTTAGATTACAGTCTCATTTTGTAATGTACACTTCATGTGTCGTTTGAACTTACTGAGAAGACAGAGCTGAAAATGGAGTTGCCTCTCCTCTCCCCATTTCAGACCCAACTCTATGTGTCTCAAAGTGTCCTTCACAGCCTCATGTCTGGGGCTGGGATGCCCACTTCCATTCTGTGACAGGGAGGGGAAAAGAACTGCCAATAGTCACCAGAAGATCTCTGTTGACTATTTTAAGTACTTAATTTGTTATTTTTCTTCTTTCACTTTGCTTATCTTATACTTAATAAACTAATTCATTAAAAACAGAAAGTATGGCCATCACAGATCAGTCTCCAGACCACACAGAATACATCTTTAATAGTAGTTTTCTAGTCTATAGGTTTGGATGATCTTGTTTTTAGGATGCTTTTTCTCTACTTTTCCACCTGACATCAAGAACGAGCATTGGGGCTTAGGAATATGGCTCAATGAGTAAAAACACTTGCTGCATAACTATGAAGAACTGAGTTCAAATCTCTCAAATCCCTGTAAAAAGCCAGGCATGGCAGCAAATGACTGTGACCCAAATTTTCTTATGGTGATATGGGAGATGTAGATGGGGGGATTGTCAGGAGCTCAATGGCAAGCTCCCATGGCATCACAACAGTGAAAAAAAGAGATCCTGTCTCAAACAAAGTGGAGGACAAGGACTGACACACATGCTCACATTCACACATATAAATGTACTCATGCATACAGGCACACACACCATACATTTGCAAGAGTAAATGCACATATAAATGCAAGAGTAAGGTAAACAAAACAGCATCAAGGAAAGAATGAGCCTTATATTGTACCAAGGGCTGGGAAGAATGGGAATGGCTTTTCCCAAGCATGGTCTTCTTGGATATCTCCAAGAATGTAAGTTACATCATCACACAGAAGTTAGAGAAGTGTAAATGCATTAGCTTGTAATTTAAATTTTTAAAATTGCTTCCTGGATATAATTGGGAACACTAGACCACTTTCTTTTCTGGGACAGAAATTAAATAGATGGTGGGGGGCATATAACGCAGTGGTATATAGTTTGGAATACTAAAAGATATTGATATAATTAGAGCAGTCATACAGAACGTGGATTAAAAATTTAGGAACAACTTCCTATTTCTACTTTTCGTGCCAGTTATATCACCTAAGGAAAGTTTCTAGACCAGCAATGAAGATTATTGTTTAGTACATCTGTGTTTCAGGAGCTTAGGTAGATACTTAAATGTACATTCATCTCATTTCATTCTCAGTAAACTATATGGTAACAATTTTACAAAGAGAAAGATACGCATCAGAAAAGGTAGAGAGGGTAAGCAGCTTGCCCCGAGGGTGGGGGAAGGGAAAGAGTACAAACAGCAGAGTCAGAACTTGAATCTAGGATGTCAGATTTTCAAAGCTATTTCGTTTCCTTCTATTCTGCTGAGTAATGCCCAATATAGATTCTGTTTCTTGTTAAGTCATAGGGGTCACATTTATCTTCCTCCTTCAACAGTAAACACATGTCTGGTGGTAGCGTTGGCCCACAACCTTAATCTCTTCACTTGGGAGGCTGAGGCAGGCAGATCTCCAAGGCCAGAGTGATCTAGAGTGAGTTCCAAGACAGCCATGGATACAGAGAGAAACCCTGTCATGGGAGAAAGCATACACATGAACCAACAGTGTTTAAGATCCTGGACAATGATGACAGCGAGCAGTGGGAGACAATCAAATGAGCCGGTCCCTGTGATTGCCCCAGGAGGTTTCTAGGCCTTAGTGAACGCTGTGGAGACTATGGAAAACAGAATTCATAATACAGAGTATCAGAAGGAAGGGATCTGCACAGGAAATAACCTAAGAGATCTGTAGACGAGATCTTCAGAGACAGACACAATCTCTGCAGCTCACACAGGTCTGGAAACAGCTCCTTTCTCTACCAGACGGAGAACAAAAACTCATACATAACAGAGTACTAGGTAATCAGAAAGGTTTTGCCTTAATAGTGAAGAAAAATAGCCCTAGGCTTCCTAGGCTTGCTTTGGTCCTGCGAATAGTGCTTAGAAAGCAACCCTTAAAAGGACAAAGATTTCCCATGTTTCATACATTCATCTCAGAACAAAGCTCAAGGGCATTATTTATAAGAATGAAAAAGTGTGTATCTCCACCAGTTGGTTATCTAATACAAAGTGGTCATCCCTGAAAACGTATATACAAGTAACATTATACATACTAAGCAGGTTGTATTTTGAGAATATTTGTATATATATATATGTATGTAACGACAATTAATAAAAAAGAGGTCATGAATTTGAAACCAAGGAAAGGTATATGGGATGTTTGGAGAAAAGAAATGGGGGAAATGATGTAATTATATTATAATCTCAAAAACAAAAGAAATTCCGCAAGTCTCAGCAATTCCACTCTTAGGCATATACCCAAAAGAGGCCCATTCATACAACAGATGTCTGTTCCACTATGTTCATAGCAGCATTATTTGTAATAGCCAGAACCTGGAAGCAACCTAGATACCCCTCAACTGAAGAGTGGATACAGAAAATGTGGTACATTTATATAATACAGTACTACTCAGCATAAGAAAAAAACAATGGAATCTTGAAATTCGCAGGTAAATGGATAGCACTGGAAGAAACCATCCTGAGTGAGGTAACCCAGGCACAAAAAGACAAACACGGTATGTACTCACTCATATATGGATTTTAGACATAGGTCAGGATAGTGCCAGTCTGCACTTCCATTGACAAAGTGTCTGGGAAACAGGAAAGAACCTAAGAGGAATGAGGCAAGATCTCCTGAACAGACTGGGAACATGGAGAGAGGTGGGGGGAGGGTGGGAACTGGAAAGAAGAGAGGGGGAGAAGAGGAGGAGAGAGTAGGTCATAGAGGAACAGGAAGATTGAGTGGGGGGTAAAATAGGGGGAGAACAGGATGAGAAATACCATTATATAGGGAGTCATAGGTTAGAAGAGAGGTCTGGCACCAGTGAGACCTCTAGTGATCTAAAGGGATGACACCAACTGGCAAGCTAAGCAATAGTGGAGAGACCACTTTAAATGCCCATTCCTGATAATGAACTTGAAATACCCTATATGCCATTCTAGAACCTTCATCCAGTGACTGACGGAAGCAGAGACAAACACCCACAGTTAAACACTGAACTGAACCCATGGAACCCAGCGACAGACAGAGAGGAGCGATGAGCAAATTGGCAAAGAATGGGCTGGCGAAACCAGCAGAGACAGCTGATCTGAACAGAGGAGAGCTCTTGGACCCCAGACCGACAGCTGGGAGGCCAGCATTCGACTGATCCAGACCCCCTGAGTGTGAGAGTAAGTGAGGAGGCCTGGGCAACCTATGGGGCCCTGGACAGTAGATCAGTGTTTATCCCTGGCATACAAATGGACTTCGGGTGTCCATAACACAAAGAGGGATGCTCTCTCAGCCTGGACTTTTAGGTGAGTGCCTGGACCCTGCCCTGAGTGAAATGACAGACTCTAGATATTCCCTATGTGGAAGGAACTGGCAATAGGGTGGGAGGCTGGGGGGGGGATGGTGGAGAGGTGCAGGAGGAGGGGAGGGAGAGGGAACTGGGATTGACATGTGAATCAAGCTATTTAAAATTAAAGTAATAAAAAAGTTAAATAAAGAAATACCTTTCCTAAACAAAAATAGTTATTTTTTCCCTATTGAGACAAGTTCTTGCAATGTAGCCCAGGCTGGGCTGAAATTCACGATTCTCCTCCCTTATTCTCCTAAATGCTAAGTTTCATTTTTTCTGAACCATACAATTTTGTGAGAGGTCATTAGAACTGACTTGTGCTATGAAAAATGTTAAAGGAAATTCAAGCAGTGGGGGAAATGACACCAAATGGAAATTTGAGTCTTTGCAAGGGAAAGAAGAGCATACATAATGTATAATTCCACTTACAGGAAGTTCCAAGAAATGCATAGTAATCTGATAAAGAACAGATAAGTGACTGCTTGACAATGAAATAAGACGGAAGAAAGAAGCACAAAAGAGGGACAAAGGAAGCTTTAGGGAGGGGAGGATATGTTGATTCTTTTAATGGTGATGATTTCATGTCGTTATCATATATAACACAGTATATAATTATATTTTCAATTATGTGTACCAATGCTCATACTTATAGGTTTCTACTAGTGTTATAATAGATAACACAAAGGGTGCCACATATTTCTTATCAATAGTTTGGTGCAGTATTTTCATAACTTTTAATTTTACTAATCATCTAAGTCTTTAGAAAAGTGGAGATACAAATGAATTACACAAGAGAGGAGGATATACAAGCACTATATACCACTGTACCAATGCTATGATCCTATGGGTTAGGTCGTCACAAAGGTGCCTCCATTTAAAAAAAAATATTCTTCCTACATTCCTGCAACATCTTTTAGAATAGGTTTTTATTGTTTTGTTTCTTTTCACCACATTCTTTTATAATTTATAATAAAAGAATCTCATTCAAAAATTATGGCAACTGTTACCTTCCCCAGGAGAATTCTCAAATTTAAAGGGCAAAACTGAGTTATTTCCACAACACTGATTGCCAGTCATCTCTTTTCATTTGGCAGCCCTGTGGATGTTTGTAGGAGGTGAATGTAAACACAGAATAGATTTCAGTCATATTCTGATGGGTGCCACCCAAACAGTATGTTGCCTTTTATGTCTAACTATTTAGGGCTTTTTGAGACCTCTACATTCCTATTAAAATAGTCTATTGTGGACTGTTCTGTTATTGTTGCTAAGTGCTGTCTAATCTCCAGTAGTTAGACACTGTAGCACTTAGCAACTGTAATAAGAGCATTCTGCATCAAACGCCCCCTCATTTCCCCCATGCTACTAGCCTTCTTTTGCAAATTTTCTCTACCTTTTCCCTGGATTATGGCAGCAGGTGTTAAACTGACCTTCTCTCTTCTTTTCTCTAATCCACTTTTACACAGAAATGTCAGGTTAATCTTTTAGAGACAACCACTTTTCTGGTTCAAATCTGTCCTCCTCGCTCCTCATTACCTGGGGAGTAAAAACCCAATTGCTAAACCTTTCAATGTAAGCTAACAACTGATATTTTGCAACCCTCTTTCATACCTGCTTAATACACAAACCACCACTCATTGTCTCTTGAATATTTGCCAAAGTTTTCTACTTTTGTTATTTTGCTCATATGTTTCTTTGTTCCACTGTTTTCTTACCTACTTTTCTATTGTGGTGATAAAACATGACAACCAATGAAACTAACAGAATAGTTTATTGGGGTTTACAGTTTCAGAGGGTTAGAGGCCATGATCACCATATTGAAGAGCATGGCAGCAGGCAGGCAGGCATGTAGGCATTGCACTAGAGCAGTAGCTAAAAGCTTACATTTTTATTTATAAGTAGGAGGCAGGGAGAGCTAACTAGGAGGTCATGTGTTTTTCAAGCCTCAAAACCAGCCTCCTATTACACACCGCATCCAACAAAGGCCACACCTCCTAATCCCTCTCAAATATTTTCACCAACTGGAGACCAAGTATTCATGTACATGAGTCTATTGGGGCCAATTTCATCCAAGCAACCACAATAGTTCACCAGCAAATGCTTACTCTTTGCCAAAGACATGGTACAACAGCAATCTTTTTGTGCCCAAAAGATAGTTCAGTGGGTAAACACTCTGCTGCCAAGGAACTGAGTTTGATCTCTGGAAACTCACATGATAGACAGAGAGTACTGACTCCTGCAAATTGTTATCTGACCCAGAAATGCTGATCTTTCTGGATATCCCAATTAGGATTCAGAAATATTCATATTCTTCCCATCCCTGTTTCACTTCCTTTTCTATTATATTTCCCTTTCCTATGGTAATTGTTACTATCACTCATCGTTATTAGTAGTAGTGAATGTACCTCATCAGATGGATGTAGAAGTATTAGTTCTAGAATGGTGTAATAGATGTGATGTTACAATACAGTACCAAGTGCTGTAGGAGCACTCAGGAAAGGGTGCCTAAATCATCTTGGGACAGATTGGACAGACACATTGGAAAAGGAAACCAGAGAGTTTATATTTGAGCTATAGCATTAGGGTGTGTGTGTGTGTGTGTGTTGGACTGGCATGAACAAAGTAATTACAGCAGAGGGATAGACATAAAACATTGTGGCACATCTTGGACCTAATATCTACCAAGTGTTTGGGACATGTGCGCAGGAAGAATTGGAATGTGAAATTGAGAGGCAGAGCTTATCATGCACATCTTTAATTTTACATGCAAAGTGTGGTTATTTTCCAGACAGTTCAGAACTTCTGATGGCTTTAAGGAAGAAGGTTGGGGAGGAGGTAACACATTTTTTTCCATCTTATAAGGCAGAGAGAGTCCCTTTCAATTTGCACACTTCTGCTAATGACCGAAATCCTCTGTTCTCAGATTTCTGCATTGCACGTGGTGAGCATAACCCGCCCCCACATCAACACTTACCAGACAGGTAAAGGGCTTTGTCCACCATATACTCCTCAGCAAAGCGAATGTGACAGAAGTTCTTTTTGCTCTTCCGGATAGCAATGATCTCTCCACACTGCTCAAACACTTCCACAATGATCTGTTCTGTCCCATTTTCAGGTAGGCCACCCACAAATACTGTCTTACATCCTGGTGGTCTCTCTCGTGTTGCAGGTGGTGGGAGATCTAAATTTAAAGGAAAAAGAATCTGAAATAAAAATATTTGCTTGGGACAGATCTCTTTGAAACCTTTTTTCCCTTCAAAAACTTTAGCCTCATGGTGCTTGTCTCTGCTCCCTAGAAAATTTATTACATGAACCTGAAAAGCATTTTGTCCAATGATTTTATGACTCTGGCTGCTATGGAATTAAGACCCATTCTGTCTGTCCTATGTAGAGAGCTTTGTTTCATTCCTTACTTTTGCCGTGATAAGCCCATGATGTTAATGTTTTGGTCATTTGTATTATGAATAGTAAGTAGGGGAAATTTCACTTAGTTTAACTAATTGCATTCAGGAGTCTGTACACCCTGATAGAGACGGCAGTTCAGATTGCTGTTATTACATTCTATTTATGTTTATTGAAAGAAGTGGTTCACGACTAATTTGAAAATTACAAGGTGAATATGAAAACATTTATAGCTGGTAGGATGCTTTGGCTAAACAAATTAGAGTACAAAGCATCCCTTTTATATTTTTAGGGAGTTTCAAATATAAATACAAATAAGCCTTTTGTCTAATTTCTTGCTGGAGTAGTGAGGCCCAAAGCCAGTCTTGTAGCATTTAAAGGGGCACAGAGATTGTAAGTTTGCCTGGAAAACCATTAACTAAAGTGAGATAAATCTTGCCATAGAGAGTCATTAAAAACACCCCTAATGAGGTGATTCGCCTCTGCTTAAAAAGTACTTTCCACTCATTGTATATATAAAGCTTCTTGGATCTGTCAGCTCCTTGTTACTCTTTATATGTGTGAAAGCATTTTTTAAAAGTGAAATCCTACAGTTCAAAGCACAACAAAACGAAGAACCCTGGCCATGATTTTTTTCTTCCTTCCTAGTGTTGGTTTGTCTCTGCAAGGATTTATTTTGTGTAATCCATTCTTCTGATTCAGTTCTCAACAATTCTCCAAGCTCAATATTTGGAAGCTCAGCAATCAGGGATTACAGCTCCCATGTGAAAATAAACGAGTCTCATTCACAGATGAGGACGAAACCTCTACTTGAGTCCAAGCTGGCAGAAGGCTGATTTGGGAGATTCCTCAGTTAGCAATATCCCTACTTACCTTGCTTTGTTACTGCTGCCTGTCTTATTGTGGTGGCTGAGAAGACCAAATTTTTCATGATGACACTCCTCCCTTACTTAGCTGCTAAAACGGGCGATGGGAGAACTTACAAACTGCTACTTTTTGAAGTCTACTTTTAAGAACACACTGTTTTATTTTTTGCTTGTGTGTTTCATATGTGACATTTAAAGGGAAAGAGAACATGTCAGAGTGAGCAGCAGTCTGAACTAGCTTGCTTGTGACTACTAAGTGGGGTTGTCATTTAGCAGTAATGTAAGAAAGGGGCTGAGAATTACTTTAGACTTAGGCTTTTTAACAACTGGAAAATAGTTTTACCATCATAATTCCAGTTATTCTTAACTCTGGTAGCATGAAACATTCAACTTGAGAGTTAAGCAAATAATGTCTGCCCCCACACCAATAAGGTTGATTTAATTAGTTCAGGGTGCAGCCTATGTTTGCTTTTTGTTGTTAGCTTATCAGGCAGACTTAGTACGTAGTTAGGGTTGAAAGTCTCTGAGTATTCTGACCTTCTGATATTATAGAGGAATATTCTTGACTGAATGGAGTGTCTCATTCAAGGACATCACATTAGATAAAGACATCATAAACTTGGAACAGGAAAATCCCACATTTAAATCTTACTCAATGTGTGTGTGACGATGGAGAAGTTACACAACCTGTGAAAACTCTCATTTTCAGTCTTCTAAATAGGGATACTATTCCTTACCTTAAACTTTTTTGTAGGACTACTGATACTATGTTGAACATATCGGATGTTGTACAAACCCTAGCACTTCGCTTCCTAATAAATAGTAGTCATTACAATGTTAATATTTATTATGGAACCCAGGTCTCCTAATTCCCAGTCTGAGGCTTTTTACTACTCTACCACATGCCTGGAGTTTGGACCTGGAACTGTGAAATACAAACTCCCTTGATTTATCCAGACAAATCTGAGCTTGAGGAATTTATGGTCGTGGAGATGCATGCAGCTTTGACCACAGAATACAACCCAGCCACTGTATACATAGGTAATGAATTTTCAAGACTATCTATTTAGACAGAACTGTTTTCAAATAAAAAGCTGTAGAATAACATCCTATTTTAGAGTAAAAAGGCTTCTGGAACTTATTTTTAAAGGAACTGCATGGTAAATAATACTTTTATGAAGCAAAAATCATCTTCATAAACTTGAATTCAGTTTATGTCTACTGACAGTCTAAGGAATACGTACTTATTCTGGAAGTTACATATAATACCCAGAATCCAAACATCCATCCCATGACTACATTTGTGGAGCTTAACATTTTGTGATGAAGCCATTAATATGATGCTGCAATTCTTTTGTGGTGACTTCTGCTAAGTAACAGAGCATAAAATTCACTAAGACTAATGTTAAGAATGCTAGGAGATACAAATGGACTTTGGATGCCCACCCCACAATGAGAGATGCTCTCTCACCCTGGACTCTTGGGGGAGGGTCTAGGCCCTGCCCTGGATAAAATGACAGACTATGGACACCCAGTGGAGGGTCTCGCCCTCCCTGGGGAAAGGAGAGGATATTGGGGGGGTTGGTGGGAGAGTGTGGGAGGAGGGGAGGGAAAGGGAGAGGGAACTGGGATTGTCGTGTGAAGTAACCTTGTTTCTAATTTAAATTTAAAAATTAAAATTAAAAAAGAATGCCAGGGATGTATCTGCTTTCCTTAAGTAAATATAGAAGACCTCTTTGATAGCACTTGCTGAGATTTCAGTGTATGCGTGTGAGCAGGGAAAAGCCTGTACTGTCTTCATTTAATGGATGGCATCTCTTCTTTAATTAACAGTTCAATGTCTTTGGTGTCTAGGTCCGATTTTCTAATCCCAATGAGATATCGTGATCAGTGCACAGCAGTGAGAACCCTATAGGAGAACAAATTTAAAGTCTACCTATTCATCAGGTAATGTGCTAGGCATTATAATGCCTAAATCACCACTCTGTATGGTGACAAAGAAAAGTTCATATCAAGATGCAAAATAACTGAAAGAAAAAAGAACTAGTCTTTGGTAATGGAAAAGAGGAACTTCTAGCACTTCTAATTACATCCAAGCATCCACTCTGGGGAGTGTGCTAAGACTATCAGTATTAGAATCCGAATCCATTGGTGGTCTTTGAGAAAGGAGGCAGAGAGCAGCACAAAGGACCCAAACACTATTTGCATAACATCCTGCTTTTCTGAGGAGCATCAAGAACACTCAGTTGGTTTGTCAGAATGTATACAATGTAAAGTCTGTGAGTAGATTTTATTAGACAGCTCAAGAGCGAAGGCCTTACAGACAATCAGTAGAGGTCAGATGCATTTTTAATGTAATCCCAGCTAATTGGAAACAATCAGAGTGCTGGAAAATTGTTATTAATGCTCAATTTACTCATTTATTTTAATTCTCTTTATAGAGTCCAGCCTTCAGAGGCAAAATGGGTTCTGTCTCTTTTGATATGGTAAAACGAACAAATTTTGCCTTTTCTGGTTCCTGGGTGTTTTCACATGTGTCTGCACACAGGCACCAGATGACATTTCATCATCCACTCTGCATTCACTGTTACTTGCAATAGATTCAAAAAGCAACCTGTCCATACAGAAGGTGTTACAATGGAAGTGAAAAATCTTGAAAAAACTGACTTCCCTAGAGAGGTGGTATTGCTCTATTCACTCATTGGAGAAAACCACTAATTGAGAAACAGTAACTCTTTGATAGCTATACTGTGGAAAAAGCATGTGTGCTGTAGTCAGCTACCCTTTTGCTATAGTTCAAGTCCTAGGAATAGGAGCCAAGGGCTTGGTCTTCTCTGCTTCAGTAGGTTCTATTGAAGTTTGACATTAGGTCTTCTGTTGTGTACTCTAGATCAAAGAGGTTCAGTTATTTACCAAACTCTCATGGCTAAAAAGAGGTTGAAAACTGAGTTATGAAACAAGGCCTGGGTTATTTCTCAGACCAAATACTTAACTGTTAAGGTATTCTGCATGCTTCAGCAAATGTAAAAAGCTCTATGTATTGCAAGACAACCCTCTTTTGATATTCTAGTATATTTTGAGGAGTTTTATTTACAGAAATATTTATAGTGGTAGCTTTTCTAAATGTGGCAGTCATAGTTTTACAGTTGCATGTAGCTAGAGGTATTTAGGTTAATGTAATGCAATATCCTCAGTTTTTGGTAAAGAAACCGAGGCCCTAGGTAATGTGGTTTCGAGGTTCATGCTCCTCTATCAATGTCTACCTTTTTTTTGGATATAAGAGTCTCACCGAAACTGAGTCTCCTTGATTGGCTACACTAGTTGGCCAGCAAACCTCTGGGATCTCCTGCCTGTTTCCCAGTGCTGGAGATATATACAGGTCATACAACTAGCTTTTATGTGGTTCTGGTGATCTGAACTAATGTCCTCAGGCTTGCATGGCAAGCATGTTACCCGCAGAACCTAGCACCCCCCTTTCTTTTTTACTTTTGAAATGTTGGAGTTCCTCATCATATTGTGTTTTAATATTTATTTTTGATTTCTATCTATGGTTGGTGTGTCATTCTTATTCCTTCAAATTAGTTAAGCTTTCAAGAAGGATAAATGGGTTACTCGTATTAAATACAGCAGAGAGATAAAGTAAGGAATAAAAACCCAGTGCTTCCACTGGATTTAGTGTCTAGATTTGATTTCAGTACCTCCCATGCTAAAGTGCTCTGGAAGAGAACACATTTAGAGCTGGGTGGGAGGTAAATGAGCATGTGAGGTCAGGAAGCACTTGAACCTGACTAAAGGGTCAGCATGTTGCAGTAAAAAAGATGGACTGAAAACAGTAATGAAGCAGATTAGGGAAGGGGTTCTGAGGTCAGGAGTCAGATCAGTGGTTCTCAACCTGTAGGTAAATGGCCCCTTTAGGGGTCAAACCATCCCTTCACAGGGGTCATCTAAGATTATCAGAAAACAGATATCTACATTATGGATCACAAACTAGCAAAAATACAGTTATGAAGTAGTAACAAAAATAATTTCATGGTTTGGGGGTCACCACAACATGAGGAATTATATTAAAGGATTGCAGCATTAGAAAAGTCGAGAACCACTGAGTTAGACTAGGAATTGAGAGCCCTAGGATAATATCATAGTTCTATTTATGTGGCAAGCATTTAGAAGGAGAGTCTGGTGGGACAGAGGAGGAAATAATATTTTGATTTTCTAATAAAGCAACAAGAGTTAGAAACAGTTCAGATGGTGACTAAAGACATTGAGATTACTTCTGAGTAATAGGATCTTAGTGCTGAGAGAGTCTTTGGAGTCAGAGGCCCCTGAGTACACAAGAATATACTAGATACAGGCAGGAGTACATAGTGGGGCTTTTAATCAAGGCTTTATAATAAATTAGGTTTGGTTGACCCTAGAGACAATAAGGGGTTCAAGCCATATCAACTGCCTGCTTTCCTGTCTTACCCTTATAAAAATAAGTCCTCACTATTAAAACAAACTGTACATTTGTCACACTTTTGTCAAAGAATTAAGAGAGAGATGCCTTGGCTAGGTGTTTTTGTACACAATTAATCTGAGTAACTCCCTTTAAACAAAATCCATTTCTACAAAGCAAATAAAACACCAGCCTGATTTAAGCTTCACAGCAGTGTTATTTTGAATTTAATTCTACAGCAGATTCATTCCCAGAAGCCACTCAGTTACTGACATTAATTGCCCTGTCAGCCTTCCTTAGTACAAAGATGAAGAACTAAATGATTGGGCCATTGGGCAAACACTGCCTTCTTACTCTCTGGCCCTTCCAACTCAGAACAAAGGAATCATGGCTGCATGAAGAGAAAGATAAAAATGTGTTGGAGAAATTTACTTATTTCCTTTCCTACAGAATATGAAGTTATATTAAGCATTCAAAGACTGCTTAATAATGTGGTCTATATGTTAAAAAAGAAAAAAACCAGGACACTTGTGCTATTCTTTGGAGACTTAGAACCTGGACCATTAAGCTGAACATCTATTGCATCCACCCTGTATACTACAGGTTATGAGCCATCCTGTTAGCTTAGACTTGGCTGAAATAATGAAAGTCTAGCACAGGCTGCTCACACCATACATGAATGATTAAATCAGCAGGACTGCCTTTTCAGTTTTGACACTGGCAATGCCTACATTCAGGGGTTGTTTTTACATGATAAAGGAACTACTGGGATGTATATCTTTCTCTAATCTGAACACAGACTGCTAGAAGAAAGGGGGAAAAGGGCTATCACATGTGTCAGGACAGTGGAACTAAGAGTAAGCGATTGGGTTTAATGGCATTGCTTGTCCAGCTATGCATAAAACTAAAATCCAGGATGGCCATGTGAGTTGTCAAGAAAGGGCTACAAAAGCCTATTTTCTTCCTTATTCCCTAATTCTCTTTGGAACAAATACTCTTTTCTAAATACAGTTGTCTAAGACGCTGTCCTCCTAGGTTTCTTAGTGGTCTGAGAAGATGTACCCTTTAAACAACTCAGTTAAAGCCCAGAAGGTACTAAGATCATTTTTCACTTGCAAAAGTGGCCAAGAGGACCTGGCAAGCCAACTCTGACTGATTCTAAAACCCTCTCAGTTAAGAGCAAGTCACACTACATAGAGTCTGGGTCACTGGCAGCATCTGATTCATGAAGAAGTGATTCCCATTTATGGCAGAGGATGAAATATTTGTCTGATGACACATGGTAAAGGTTCCTATTTATCTTGATGAGGCAAGTTCATTTGATGTATGGTCTAAACATCCAGATGGAGTTTTAAACCAACAACTCTAATATGTGCGCCACAGCAGCAGCTTCCTTGACACACCAGGCAGTATCATAGGAAAAACACTAATGACGCTTGGGTCAGTGTGGGGATAGCTTCTAATCATTTAAAATGTGGATCTGGAAAAAAGTGCACTAATGCTGTTAGATTTCACCTTAAGCAGCCACCTGAATACTACAGTCATGTTAAAGTAAGTCTTCAGAGAAACCTAATCTTTACTAGCAAGCTGGATTCTCTAGACCATTTCTATATGGGTTGCATGACTGCGTGGCTACAAGTAGTCTGACTTAGTTTCAACACTCCTCTTTGCCCTTCCAAGGAACTGAATTTCACCTCCCTGTATATTGTAGTATATAAGGTGAACAGCAGTCGGTGGAATGATGTATGACTAGCTGGTAGCAACGGAGGCTTCTTAGCACTAAATACATATTCTCACAGTCAAGGGCTTCAGGTGGGCTCAGACCATGCTCAGTCTCTGCCATCACTAGTATGTGGATCAGGTATAAAAAGAAGAAAGAACTACAAGTGATAGTTTTGAGCAATTTGTGTTGGGTGCCTCCTTCTATACTAACACACTTGAATTCCCTGTCAGAAGGCATTAGGCACACTGCACCTCTTTTCCTGCAACCAGCACACATCTACTAGCTTTACATAAAACTTGACCTTTCCTAGTAAGAGAAAAACTTTCCATTTCTCTTTTCTAAGTGAAGCTTCTGTGTCTACACCCACGAAACCCTTAGGTATTCTTTTGAAAAAGAAGAAACTCCTTTTCTATGGCCTAAAGAGGCAAAACAAAACAACAGCACCAAAAAGAAAAACCAGGCTAGTACTTGGGTTGGGAGGGAAGAGAGTGCAGCTTTTGCAGTGTATGATCTCTTTTACTACAGGCATATCTGGAGGAATTGGTGGAGGCACTATTCCCAAACCAGGCATCATTGGAGTTATTGGCGGTATTCCAGTCATCATTCCAAGGGCAGGATCGAAGTCTGAAAACGGAGACAAAAAAGAAAAAGACAATAAATGATAGCAGGCAAGGTCAAATGGAGGCAGGATGTTATGTTAGAAATAGCAAATCAAAAGGTCTTTGTAAGACAAAGGCAAAACAAACAAATGCCTCTTCGTGATAACATTATCAGTCATAATTATCATATGTCTATGCACTTTTCTTTCACTATGTAGATATCGTTTTGTTTGATCCCAGTCAATGTAACTGTTTGTTACATGTCTGTTGCATACTCATTATTTTCTATAATATTGCTCTGCCTTTTCTAAGGATCACATCTCCATTCATTTCCAGTACACATTTGGCTCCATTCTGACAAGACTTCTTCTTGTCCCTTGTACTTTTCCATCTTTTTACAGTATCCTGGTAACTGCAGGGGAATCAGGAGGACTTAGGCTCTCCTTTCTGTCATTTGCTTAGTAATATGAACTTCCCTTTCGTCAGCTGCAATGTGGTTTATATCTCCTACCTTCCAGGGAGCTATGGTGAGTAAACAGAAAGAAGAATGAAATGTGCTGACCATAACACACTACACAAAGTGGTTCAACAAACAACGACTGTGTGTATCTTTGTGTTCTTTGCTCTGGCTGAATTGTCTGAAGATGTCTGAGTTCTTCCTCCCAGTGCTTCAAGGCTTATGTCTTTTTTGTGATTTTTTAATTTAAATTAGAAACAAGCTTGTTTTACATGTCAATCCCAGTTCCCTTTCCCTCCCCTCCTCCCCTGCCCCCACTGGCCCCCTTTCTGCTCCCCAGGGAGGGTGAGGTCTGCCATAGGGGATCTTCAAAGTCTGTCATATCATTTGGAGAAGGGCCTAGGCCCTTCCCTGTGTGTCTAGGCTGAGAGAATATCACTCTATATGGAATGGACTCCCAAAATCAATTTGTACACTAGGGATAAATACTGATCCACTGCCAGAGGCCCCATAGATTGCCCAGGCCTCCTAACTGACACCCGTGTTCAGGGAGTCTGGAACAGTCCTATGCTGGTTTCCCAGCCATCAGTCTGGGGTCCATGAGCTCTCCCCTGCTCAGGCCAGATGTTTCTGGGGGTTTCTCCAGCCTGGTCTTGACCCCTTTGCTCATCACTCCTCCCTCTCTGCAACTAGTTTCCAGGAGTTCTGCTCAGTGTTTAGCTGTGGGTGTCTACCTCTGCTTCCATCAGCTACCGGATGAAGGCTCTAGGATGGCATATAAGGTAGTCATCAATCTCATTATAGGGGAAGGGCATTTAAGGTAGCCTCTCCACTATTGCTTATTGGTCGTCCTTGTAGATCTCTGGACATTTCCCTAGTGCCAGATTTCTCTTTAAACCTATAATGGCTCCCTCTATTATGGTATCTCTTTTCTTGCTCTCCTCTATTCTTCCCCTGACTCAATTTTCCTGCTCCCTCATGTCCTCCTCTCCTCTCCCCTCCCCTCCCCTCCTCTTCTCCCCTTATGGCTTATGTCTTATACACTCGAAGAGCCCTTTGTAGATTATTCCAGCACATTCTTAATTCTGTGTCTAAAATCTGTCCAAACTTTTTGTCACTGAATTTTATTTTGCATTGCTTTTTGTTTCACCAAGAGGTGTGACTCTAGGAAGTATAACAGTATCTCTACTGGCTGGTTTTGTGTATCAAATTGACACAAGCTGCAAGGCATCATTTAGTGATCAATGGGGGAGTGTCATCCCTGGCCTGCTGCTCCTGGCTTCTATAAGGAAGCAGGCTGAGCAAACCATGGGAAGCAAATCAGTAAGCAGCACCTCTTCATGGCCTCTGCATCAGCTCCTGCCTCCAGGATCCTGCCCTGTTCAAGCTCCTGTCCTGACTTTCTCAAATAATGAACAGCAATGCTGAAGCGTAAGCCAAATAAATCTTTCCTCCCCGACTTTCTTTTTGGTCATGTTGTTTCATCACAGCAATATAAACCCTAAGACAGTACCCAAACAATTTTTGTGAGGTTTATATACGTATACAAATTGATTCCTTCCAAGTCAATATGATTCTGATGGCGCAATCTCATGTGATACATCGCAAAAACATACAACTTCAGGCACTAACTGGAATGATTTATTTGTCAGACCATTCTCCTGGAAAGAAGATTCTAAAAAGATTCCATAGGCATACATCCTGAAGCTTCCAGAGGTATCTAGTTGATTCCATATATGGGGTAGAAGATGGGATAAATAGAAACTGGGGCCCATAGGGGTTTAGAGTGAAATTGAGATTCTGCACTCAGGTACACTGTCTGATCAATCCCAGACATGGAATGGGGGGGGGTTACAATTTTCAAGAAAGGTGCTACTGGTGGGTAGAATAAACAGGTACTTCTCTGGATTTGGTACCTGGTTTTATGACTTCCTGGCCAGTGTTCAGAACTAGAGAGAGACTTAGAAAACAACAAGAAAGCCAGGAGTGCTCCCCAGTGAAGCACAGGCTCAGAGAAAGGGCCTCATTTGAATCTAAGAGTAGTCCTAATTACACTGTCTAAATTGAGAGAAGGGGCTTCACCAAGTTTCTTTCACTTCCTATTTCCCATACTTATATCTATATCTATATCTATATCTATCTATCTATATATATATTGTACTGCAATCAAAGAAACATTGTAAAAGGCTGTTCTGGTGAAGAAGAGGCAGTTGCAATAGTAGTAGTGACCCCTACTCCCAAAGTCTTCATCATGCTAGCCACAGAGCTCAGTGGAATAATGTTTGCAAGGATGTCTTTAGGGTGGTCCTGAGGTAGCTGGGTGGTTCTCTAAGATACCAGAGGAGGCAGAATAAATAGCAGAGGGACTCTGTGATTCCAATAGGAGCAGAACTTTAGTCCTACTATGCCAAGTATTGAAGGAACCCTGTATCTGGGCACAGGGGCAAGTGAATATTACATGGATATCCCTTATGCAAAGACAACCCAAGCAAGGCCATCTCCATCTTTTAATATCTATCTTCTTGAGGTGCTAACATCCTAGATAGGTTTAGGAAGGAGAAGTTTTTCTCATGAGCTCTTTTACTTTATAAAACACTTACATTCAACTCTCATACATTATCCCATTCAACATGCAAGCACACCTATCCATATCCTCTCTCCTGAGGATCTAATAACTTCATTCTTTTGCACAAGGTATGTGACCTTGAAGAAAGTTTCTTAATATCTCTCTGTTTACATTTCCTTTTTTTGGTAAACATGGGGGCAAAAATGAAATTCAGCTCAGACAATGAAAGAACAAATCAGGTATGAAGACCTCTGGCATGATAGTCCTCATAAGTCTTCTTTCTTCTGGGCCAGTTCAGTTGTGAAACACATAGTGACAAACCCACTAACTCAGACATTCACTGTTGCAGTCCACAAACACTTAGGCCAAGTCTTGTTTCTGTTAGCCTTTTTGCAGAAGCCAGAAAGCGTGTTTAGTTTCCCCTTTCGTCTTTGAGAACTTAAGGTCCCTGACTCTCTCTCTTGCTGTGCAGTAGGATAAGAGTACCCCGATTCAGAGCACCATTTGTGTGTTTGGAAAATTTGATTCCTTGTGCAGAAGATTTTGGAGAAATTGTTACCTATTTATAAACTGTTAATTTTCTTCAGGAAAAGATAGGCTTAGACTGCATGACACCTAAACAATTCCATCTATTTCCCCCTGCTATCGAAGTGTTTGTCTTCCTTTTATTGTTTTGCCTGCCTCCTCATTGTTATTCATATAGCTCTGTCACTCACAACTCTACCTTACCACAGATTACAGAAACATCACTTCATTAAACAAGTTCTGCTGCTTCCACCGAGAAGGAAATGCCTGTCTTCATGTACTGTCTACTAATAGAAGGAGACAAACAAATATATAGATAATATAACTCCTGACTGATGTAGTCACCACTCTGCAGTTTGGTAGGATTACATTAATATTTTATACATTCATTTAAAAGCAAATGTACTCATGACATATGGTTAGAGATACAATAGTTCAACATGTCAAGAGTTCCACAGGCTAAACTGCCCAAGAGGGCTTGCAAGAGGACAGTTGTTTATGACATTTCAAAGGTGCTCATCACTTTAATTATTCTTTTGTTTATATTTAACCATTAAACACAAAATACACCTAGATTTTAATGCCACTAAGCAAAGCAATCTGGGCCTTTACAGAATCTGAAAAATCAAAGAGAAATTTAAAACATACTGGGCGTAGAGTAGCAACGAAATTCCTTCCCCTTTCCTGACTCCTAGCCTGGACTGAGGAATACTGCAACATATGTATTATTGCCACCAGTTATTCAGAATTTCAATACCTGAAAGAGATTTGAAATCATACACAAAGGCTGTCAAAAGGTCACGGTATTCCTCCAAAGTTCGTTTAACACAAATTTCTCTGTTTGACTTTGCTTTTGTTATTTCCTCTTTTGCCACCTATTTCTTATAGCCTTCTTGACTCTTGGCACAGTCACTGCTGGGTAGAATGTTGGTTTGTATACCTCCTTTTGAGTCATGTAACTTTCAAAGTCCCTCCCTATTAGAAAATCTGCCAATTCTGAGTTAGCTGGGCAAACTTTCTTCTCAGAGTAGTAATTTTTCAGTGTAGACTTAAGCTTTCCGGCTACTTAGCAACGTTTATTTCCCCAAAATGGTAATATTATGTGATGCTTTATACATCAGCTGGCTGGGGTTCTTTGCTCTACTAGGATACAAATTGTGGGTAAGTGAGGAGAAAATTTTCTGTCTGGCAGTTCTGAGCCCTTGAGTACCCAAAGCCTAGGGGCTGGAGTGGAAAGCCCAGTTCTAGAGATATAATCCCTGAGTGTTAGGACCCATTGACACAGGCTTTAGAAACTATACACTTAAGACTCTAGCCATAATTTGGAGATTTACTGCTCTGGGCTTTAACCACCAGTGCCTCTAACACATGGCAGCTATTGTAATCTTTGGTTAACAGCAGCACTGGGTGGGGGGTGACAGGAGATATCAGAAGCAGACAGTACCTTCTAGTTTTAAAGCTCTCACACATCTCAGGT